GCCAGCTCCTTCTCGTCGATGTTGTTGCTGACAGCGATGGGGACTGACTCCAGCCAGGGTGCCTGAAACCTGGGATGGGGGGCTCAGAAGTTCCTGATTCACCAGGGCTCCCTCCCTCCCTGGTCACGCCCCTCCCACGGGAGAATCTGCCCTCAGTCACACGGGCCACTGTGACCCTGCAGGGCCACCATGTCTCCATGGAGGTAGGCCCAGACCAGATCTCCTGCAGCAGGCGGCAGGGGGCAGGGTCCCTCCCTCTCCCTCTCCCTGCCCCACCCCTATATCCGCACCCCCGAGGGGGTCTCTCAGCAGACAGCCCCCTGGACTCACTGGGCTGCCGTGGTCCGGAAGAGCGCCCGGACCTCCTGGGCCTGCTGCAGCAGGTCCCCACTGTCCAGCCGCACGCCCACAGCCCGGTAGCCCAGCTCCCCCAGGGCCAGGGCCACCGCCAGGAAGTTGGGAAGTCCGCTTCTGCGGCCGGGACAAGGAGGTCAGGGTCCTGCAGCTTCTCCGCCGAGCCCCCCGCCCCCACTGTGTGTGTGGGCGCCTGGCCTCACCTCCTCACGCTGTAGGTGTCCAGCAGGCCCTGGAAGGCCCGGGGGAAGGCCAAGGCATAGGCCACAAAGGCCGCCCGCTCCCCGGGGTGTGGATCCTGCACCCCCAGCCCCAGGTGGGCGCACACACGTTCCAGCCACGCCTCCACACGGGGGGCCAGGTCCACACTGGGGCCCTGACCAGCAGCCGGAGCCAACATCTAGGGAGAGGGGCCCGCGAAGGGTGGGGACTGAGTTCACCCCTGGGTGAGGGTCTGAGCAGGGGTGATGCCACCTGCCTGCCAGCTTCCCAGGGCCACACTGTGACTACCTGCCCAGGTGGCTTCTGCCCTTGTGCAGAGGACCGGACCCCCTCCTCTAGGCCGGCCGGCCGGCCTGGCCTTGGGGTCCGCCTTCTGGAGCTCAGGGGGAAGAGAAGGTACTGACCGGGTCAGGAGGCACCTCCGTGCCGGAAAAGGAAGTGACGAAGGAGTGCGCCAGGGTCCCCACCACGGGCACGCCCCGCAGCTGTCCTGCCAGCACGTTGCTGCTGCCGTCAAAGCCTAGGCGGGCATCGGGGCATCGGGCTGTGTTCACAGGGGCCTCCGGCTGGGGGCCCTCCTCTGCCCCCGTCTCTTCTTCCCGGCCTCACCCCCCAGGTAGCTGTAGGTGGAGGCCGTGAGACCCCCGTCGGGGCCCTGCGCGCGCCGCAACCCCATTTCTAGCAGCCGTTTCTCAGGCCCTGCGATCAGGCGGAGCCGCGCCGCGTTGGTAGCAATGAGGCTGTGAGGGAGGCAGGGGACCAGGGTGAGGGTCACGTAGGCCCAGACCCCGCCCCTCCTGGAGGCCGTGCGAGGCACCCACGGAGCTCGGACCCTGGCGCATGCAGCCACGCCCACACCCCAAAGGGCCGGCCTCCCGGACGTCCAGGG